TGGCTCCCCTTGTGGATCAGCTCCTGCCTGGCACCCTGTACTGCTGCCTCATGATACAGAGGCAGCAGTGTGGAGTGGCAGGGGGATCCTCAGGAGTGAGGCCAGAGCACACTAGCTGCTGGCCACACCCCTGGGAACTAGAGTCAACTAATCAATAAGAATTCTTGAGGTTACTTGACTATTCAATTAACTGATATTTAACATCCCTAGTTGAGGAGTCATCTGTTTTATTTACAATTAAGACAAATGGTCTGAATCTTCTCACGTTGATGTAAATCAGGAGTCTACTAAAATCAGTGAAGGTACACTTGTGCAAAACCAGTTTGAGGGGAGAAATAGGACCTCAGATGCTTGCTTTCACAGTCGTCTCTCTAACCTACTATAGCAGGCAGCAGTCTAGATACTCAGTCATCCCACTGGGGATAAAACACCAACACTATTTCAAGATAACTAGCGCCATTCTGAAATAACTTAGTCTGTGTCTACACAGCAGGCAGTTATTTTGAAATAGTGTCAAAATATTGACAACCTGGATGACTTCTTACTCCATACAATTACAGGAGTCAGGTTACAGGAGTCCAGGGGTAAGGGAAGCCGGAAGAAGAGTGCTCTGTTTCAAAATAGGAAGCGTCTAACCCAGCACTTCTTTCAAAAAATAAGCTATTTTGAAATAAGATTTGCAATTGACTTAGCTCAATTTGCATAACTTATTTTGAGTTAAGCCCTGCAGTGTAGCTGCACCCTTTGTGCCATGGAGTAGAACTTGCTGCCAGACAGCTTCAGAATTCATACTTTTCTTAAATTTCTCTTTACTTCCCCTCATGCTGCTCCTATTTTGAGGGCTCGGACACAGAATAGCATAATCTAGAAGCATTCAAAGAGAGCTTCTAAAACTACTATGAATCCCAAGCATCCTGGTGAGGTTCTGACTGACCAAAATAAAATAGCTGTCTCCATCCAAAACATTTCTCCTCAACCATTACCAATCAACTGGAAGAGCACAGAACTTTAGAGAACATTATTGCACCGTGGCCCATCCTAGCCAGATCAGTTGTGCAAACTGGTCTGGGAGTCCGTAGGGTGGAGGCTATCCTTTCCTGTGCTCCAAATCCACCTCTGCCCTCTTTGTCCCCCAGCCTTAGCAATTACCAGGGATGGGGGCTGGTGTGTGGCAACAGTGGTCAGGCCCCCCCTGCACTCCATGTGGCAGTGGGAGCTGAGGGGAAGCGGACTGCACTGGGAGACAGGGTACCATGGGGCAGTGGTAGGAAGGGGCAGGACTTGAGGGAGAGTCATTCCCTGCCCTGGGGGTCACCAGCCTGAATCACAGAAGTGCTCCAGTCAGGGGTGGCCTGGAGGCTATGAGTTTGAGACCTCTGTAGTCACTGTTACCTAAATTTTCCTCTGAACAAATTTTAGACCACACAGTGGCTGAAAAGCTGTTGTCCTGTGTACAGTAGTGTTCTTCACCATTATGACTACTAAGCTGATAGTAATGGTGGGAAATTTTTCATGGAAAAGTGGCATGATGTATCAAGGCCATTGGGAATTCAATGATAATCCAACATAATTGGGTTTCTTTGCTTTGCCCAAAAACCTTATCTATGCTAGTAACCGAAGAGAATCTGAATGTAACCCATCTAAATCTTGTGTAGAAAGAAAATAGCTCTGCCTGTATAACATGGTTAATTCTCATCTAAACCAGAGTTCTTTAATAAAGTTGTTTATCGTGTCCCCTCTGTAGGGATGTAGTTGACTGCATGATAAGCTTAGGCTTACTGGGTAGTTGAGTCACTACTTGATTACTCCCATTCTCCCCCTCCTTTCCCCCAGCTGCCTCTGTATCAGAGGCAGCAAGCAGCAGGGGAAGCAGGAGCCAGTGCTGGCGGAGGCAGCTTAAAAGCCAGTTCCCCCAGCACCGTCTCCACAGTGCATGGAGGAAAGGGGGGAGGACAAGGGAGGCAGAGCCACAGTGGGGAACCTTGTGGAGGTGGGATTCAGGAGTCCCGACTCAGCTGGGTCCCAGCCCGCTGCAGCTCTATTTAAATGCAGTTAGAGCCCCCACTGTAGTTCAGCCTTTTTAATGTAGCCTGGCAGCTCTTACTACATTTAAAAAGCAGAGCTGCAGTGGTCTGGGACCCAGCGCAAGCTGGAACTGCTGAGTCATGGACCTACCCAGTCTGTGCCTCTGTAGCTTGACTAATTATGTACTAGGTACAAATTGTATCAAGTAAACAATTAGTCAGTTACCCGCTTTTTAACATCCTTAGCTATAAGCAGTTCAGAGAACTATGTACTGTAATTGGGTCAAAGTGTGTGTGTGCGCAGTTTAGTGTGAAAGTGGGGGGACAATGAATGCAGCAGCACAGTGCTAGAAACTTAAGTTCATTCTACTGTCCAACATGTTTTTAAGAATCTCTTGATGCTGGATCATGATGTATACTTTCACTTTGGCAGCGTGCTTTGGTTCAGTTGATCAGAGCAGGTCATTATCTTAACTGCATGATGAGATTAATGACCATCTCTTTTTTTTTTTTTTTTTTCCTTCAGAGGGGTATGAGTGCATGCTTTACACACATTCAAGCAGGTCCCTGTGTAAAGTAAATCATCTTTACCAATAATATTCAGCTGAAAGTATCTGGAGTTGAATCAACTCATTCTCCTTCCACCAGCTAATCTTATTTTGATCCCTCTACAAGTCACACTCTAACTGCCTGGCTGCTCACCTAATAAATGATGTACTTTTTACTCTGCTGCAAGATTAAGCAGAAACTGGACCCTGAAGGATAAATCTTTGTTTGAAATATAAACCCTTGGGTAATTATTAGTATGGTAATTGACCATGGGGATTTTAAATTTTGAGAAACTTCTCCTAATAGAAGTCTTTAAAAGAAGCAATATTTTTACTGGCAATATGCTACTCTTCATATCAACTGAACTTGAAGAGGCAGTATCTATGCATTCTTTGCTCCATTCAACTTATCTGCCTCTGTATCTCTTCATAAAGATGAGAGGATATGTTTTTTACATCCCTCCACCCCCACATTCTTGGGCATAAACAAAATAAGGAAATACAAACTAGATGGATTTTACAAAGTGGGTGCGTAAGTGGTTAGATAATTGTTCTCTGAGAGTAACAATTATTTACACTGGGCTTAATAAAAACTTTTATTTATTATCAAATATAAAAAGTGAAAACAGACAGATTAAAGTAAGTTAGTGATAGAAATGTAGCCGTGTTAGTCTGGGGTAGTTGAAGCAAAATGCAGGACAATGTAGCACTTTAAAGACTAACAAGATGGTTTATTAGATGATGAGCTTTCGTGGGCCAGACCCACTTCCTCAGATCAAATAGTGGAAGAAAGTAGTCACAACCATATATACCAAAGGATACAATTTAAAAAAATGAACAAATATGAAAAGGACAAATCACATTGCAGAACAGAAGGAGGATGCGGGGGGGTGGGAAGGGGGAGGAAGGAAGGTAAGTGTCTGTGAATTGCTGATATTAAAGGTAGGGAGAGTGGGATGTTTGTGAGTTAATGGTATTACAGGTGATAATTGGGGAAACTGTCTTGATAATGGGTGAGAAAGTTCAAAGACTTGTTAAGTCCCTGGTGGTAAGTGTCGAATTTTAACATGAATGACAGTTCAGAGGATTCCCTTTCAAGTGCAGATGTAAAAGGTCTTTGTAGCAGAATGCAGGTGGCTAAGTAAGTTACAAAGCCAAAATAAACAAACTAAACCTAATACACTGCAGACCTAATGTGGTGCTGCCACCTTGGGTTGGGCAGGGAGTTCATGCCTTCGTAACTCTCTGGGAAGAGAACTCCTTCTTCCACACCCACGTCCTCCAAGCGATGTGGTTGGGAGGAGCAGAGCAGGATGGGACCGGGTTGCTTAATTTCCTGCTGTCAAGTGCAGGGGTGGATCAGGCTCTCGGCTAGTCCTCTGGGCCCTGCAGATCCTGTGATCATTGCTTCAAACTGTCTTGCCATATGGATGGGAAGGCTCTGCTCCTCAGATAAGTACCTAGACGTACAAGGGACATAACATTGACTGAATCCAGAAATTAGATATTAGACATCAATACGATCAGGTTTTTTGTCTCTGATGATTACAAGAAAAGAAACTAGGTTCTGAAAATCTGTAATTGCCTCTTTCTGTTAAAGCAGTTGGAAATGCATGGGTTGTACATTAATATCTGTAAATTCTTCTCCTATGCCATATACTAACTGATCTTGTAAGGTCGGTGCACAGTTTATAGAATGCCTTTTCAGTTCACATTTTCTTAAGTCCTTCTGAAGGGCCATAACTTGGACAGGTCATTGTTGTCCAAGTGGTAGATGTGCTATGTTCTGCCACTCACTTCTAGTTTGCCTTCTTTAAAAGTAGACCTCATGGTGACAGCAGATACTCCACCATGTGATGCAAAGTGTCACTGGCATATATAGTCAGTAGAACAAGGCTAACACTTTCTCACTTAAGCTATGTCTATACAGCTTCCCTCTTTCGGCAAAAGCCTATGCAAATGAAGCGTGGGTTAGCATATTGGTGCGCATCATTTGCATAATTCATTAGCCATTTTTGTGCAAACCCCCCTTCTTGCACAAGAGCCATTCTTCCTCATTTTTTCAGGAAGAATGGCTCTTGCGCAAGAGGGGGATTTTGCGCAAAAAGGCGCTGTGTAGATGGTGCCTCTTTGCACAAAAACCTCTTGCAGAAAATGGCTCCTGATTATGCAAATGAAGCATAGCAATATGCTAATCTATGCTTCATTTGCATAGGCTTTTGTGGAAGAAGGAAGCCGTGTAGATGTAGCCTCTGAAATGTCTTCACTTTTTCGTTTCTTGCATATGTTGAAAGACTCCCTAAACAATTTTTCAAGGGCTACTCTGAAGTATCTGGTCTCCTGTACTTCTGTGTGTGGTTCAGAGGATAATCTGGTTTAATAATCTGTTAATCGTGTAACATGTTAATGTGGCTTGTTTCATTTTCAGCTCCAAGTCCCACTACGGCTGTGCCCTACGTGTCAGTAAAATGCATAGATGTACGGAAAAACCACCACAAAACTAAATGGTTAATACCCTGGGGGCCCAACCAGTGTGAGAAGATCCGAGATCTTGATGAGGCAATGAGCAGACAAATAGAAGCCAACGACATTGTGTTTGCTGTTCATATCCCCCTCCCCACCAAGGAGATGAGCCCCTGGTTCCAGTTTATACTTGTTATCCTGCAACTGGACATTGCGTTCAAGAAAAATAACGAGATAAGTAAGTCACTCACTGTATCCCCCAAATGTTTAATCAAAGCAAGAAAATATTGATCATAGAGTGTTTGTTAAATGTCTCTTAAAATAGTGGGTTGCTGTAAATTAAATGTATGTTCATTGTCCGTATAGACAAAGTTGCGCTACATGGGAACCTACTAACAGTGCAAATGCATAAAAGGTTCCTTTTTGAAACCATCCTCTTACGGATAATGTTAATGTTTTGAGTTTGTGTCAATTTATGAATTATTTACTATGTGAAAAATTACTTAATCATGGAAAAAATCAAAATATCCTCCCTAACCATACAAAAGGGAGTGGCTTTTCCAGAGCCAGCTTTGCCAGATCTTACCACATAACAAACTGTTTTGTGCCTTTGTACTGCTCCCACTGAAGTCCAATGGCAACAGTCCATTGACATAGTGAAACTACCATTTGAAAAAAAGTCAGTAGTTGGGATCCATGACCTCCTCTGCAAGGGAGAAAGTTTTTGTTTGTTTTTAAATTCCAGAAACTTTGCTAGAGTAGTGATGCTAACAAGAAGGCTCTATTTTTAATATGACATACAGCATTTTACTAGATGGACTATTAAGCAGCCTATTAAGCAGCTAGTGCTGGAATGGTCAGTGGCAAGAATAGACATTTATGAAAATTTCTGAGAGAGCTAGCGAGGCCTCTTCTCATTGAAAGAAATTGTGGGGCGGGGACAGTTCCAACAGGTTAAAGCAGTGGTCTCCAACCTTTTTACACCCAAGATCACTTTTTAAGTCTCAGAACAGGCAAAGATCTACTGCCCCGCCCCTTCCTTGAAGCCCCGCCTACATTACATGAGGAAATCTAATGTAAACGTACTGCGCAGATGCACAGTTCAGAGAGGGCTCAAGAGCTACTCTTAGAGCCCCTGAGATCTACCGGTAGCTCACGATCTACTGGTTGGTGACCACGGGGTTAAAGGAAGGAAAGCTAGCAGAAGAATTGTCGTCTTTCTCTCCTTCCCAGCAAAGAATGCTGACATGTAATTCTGATCTGGTCTGAGACTATAAATGGCTTTTTCTTTACTCTGTCCCTTCCAAATCTCAGTTTTGAGGGCACAAAAATGGAGTGGACTCTTTCATAAGATCGAAGGGTCACCTTGAGATCATTCCTGTTTTAGTCCTCCTGTTGTTGATTGAACCTTTCGTCTCCTTGCTGTTACTTGATGTAGTAGTTTTACACTTGATACCATAGGCTGAACACACCTGCAAGCTGCATTCAGAAAGACTGAGTAAAATGCATGGTTAATCTCCATTATCACAGTTTGGAAGTCATTCCCCTAAGATTCATGTCCCAAGTTATTATGTAGTGTTTTAAAATATTAATCAGCAGTACTTTTAACCAAGCTAAAATTGAATGCAGTCTCTCTACAAGTCTTCTAGCGATTTTATGTATATCCCTTACATTTATAAATTGGAAATCTGAATAGATATTGTCAGAAAACTAGAGAAAGATAAAGGGGGATGTTAGTCTGTACTTGGACAGTGACTCTGTAGCTTTCTCATGCCTAATTGAATTGGGTTTCAGTTGGCATTTCAAAAGCCAGGACCTCTGATCACTAGTGGTCTGGAAGCTGTTTGAGCTGAACAAAAGTGTATTTGCAATAATTCCCTGTTCTTGAATTTTCTGAGTCGGATTATTTTGAGGAATCTGATATTGGGGTTCTAGGAGGGGGTATGTATATAATATTTCCTTGGGTGGAGGGGAGGGGTGGTTCAAGTGACAAGGTTGCAGTGACTCATGTTTTTGTTTTTGATGTAAGCTTTTCCTGTGACCAGTTTAACTTCTAAATTTTGCCATTTGAGCCACAGGGCAAGGATAATGGGAGACTGTCATAGTTCTACCACAGTTTAATTAGTATTGCTCTGCTTGCTCACTGTGCATCACTGACTGTTTAGAATACCAAGTCAGGCATGCCTGTCCAGCAACTTAAGAACATAACTTGGTCATTGACTGAACAAGGGCTTTCCTGTGATAGAATGAAATGCTAATCATGGCACTGTGGCCCCAAGTAAAATTCTGTAAGATGGTTTATTTTTCTCAAAGCAGCACCAGCTGGGTAGCCCTAAAATGTACCTACAGGAATGCTGAATGGAAGACAGGAGATATTCCAGAAGATTGGAAAAGGGAAATTATGGTGCCCATCTATAAAAAGGGAAATAAAAACAACCCAGGAAACTACAGACCTGTCAGTTTAACTTCTATGCCAGGAAAGATAATGATAGAAATGTAGCCGTGTTAGTCTGGGGTAGCTGAAGCAAAATGCAGGACAATGTAGCACTTTAAAGACTAACAAGATGGTTTATTAGATGATGAGCTTTCGTGGGCCAGACCCACTTCCTCAGATCAAATAGTGGAAGAAAATAGTCACAACCATATATACCAAAGGATACAATTAAAAAAAAAAGTGAACACATATGAAAAGGACAAATCACATTGCAGAACAGAAGGGAGATGCGGGGTGGGGGAGGGGGAGGAAGGAAGGTAAGTGTCTGTGAGTTAATGATATTAGAGGTGGGGAAGGGTA